TATTATTAGTTATCCTCTTAGACGAAAACAAAAATACTGACTGCAAATATATATGGCACTTTATCATCATCTAGGCCTATTGCGTTTTGTTAGTGTTCCTCAAGGCTACTTGAACCTCATTAAAAAAAATAATAAGCTGTATCCTGTTCCCATTTTCACCATTGCACGAGAATATGGAGCACCTTCATATTTAATGCTGACGACACACAACATATATAACATTTCATTATTTTTCTTACTTGTGGTTTGACTTAATCTTTTCCCGTGTGAGGAAATTGATGAAGTCACTGTTAAGGAATTTTAACAATTTTAAAAGCTATTTCAATAATGATATAAACGATCAAGAAATTTTAGTAAATACCAGTACTGTTGACCTTCGTTTTGTAGCCTAAAGCCTCCAAACTATTTAAACAATATATTAGTTATTTATTGTTTAAACTATTTAAACAATAAATAACTAATATATGGAAAAGTAATAATCAATAACATTATTTTAAAGTATATTTTATTGGTATACACAGGAAGAACATAGACATAGATAAAATGCTAGAAACAATGTACAAGGTCTTGCTGCATATTAACAAAGTTCAGAAATTATTAGTAAACTTTTGTGTGATTATAATTAAAACTTTACTGAACTTGCTCTCTACGGTACTTTGATCTCGAGTCATATTTATAGTAGAAGACCTTTTCTCTTTACTTTACTAGCCTGTGGTTTGCCTTGTGCTCAAAGAGAAGTTTTAAGCTTTGTCTACAATATCAAATTTCATGAAAAAGCGTCACATATGTTATTGAAAATAAGAGTTGAACATGTTCAACTTTTTTTTATACAATTTGATAGCATGTTATATGACATCATCGTACCCATATACTGTATGGGCACATCAATTTTTTTTGTCACAAAATTTGATAGTGTAGACTATACTAGTTAAATTTGTCTCTGTTTTATTCACTCAAGGGAAGAACACTCAGCTAACCAGTACTTAAACACAGACTCTATATTCAAAGAATGTTGTATTGCCCAGGCAGTTTTCTCAAAAGCTCAAAATATAAGAAGAATTCTTTTCTGAAGAGTGTACGATACATTTTCTCTTTATATCGCTTACCTGTGGTTTGCGTTGCTGTGCTAAAGGGTGACGTATTGGTGATCGTTGGTGTTGTAGTCGCTGTTAAGAAAATAATACCCAATTATCCAGTATTTCAAACACACACTCTAGCCTGGTTCTCACGAAAGCCCTAGTATCCGGATCCTGCTAACCGTTAGCTGCTGTGCGTCCATACGAGAGAAATCCCGATCCGGATACCAAAAATATGATGATCAAATCAATGGCCAATAAGAAACTTGAAATTGTAAACGCGTACGTGTGATTGGTTGATGATAAAAACGCGCTCAACTTGCTAACCGATAGCGCTTGCTAACCGTTAGCTGTATCCGGATACTGCTAACGGTTCAAGGCTAACCGATCGGGCGTTCTCACGCAGGTGCTAACGGTTAGCGCTAACGGTTAGCTCCCGATCCTGATACTAGGGCTCTCGTGACCAGGCTTAAGAAACTGGAAATTGTAAACGCGTACGTGTAATTGGTTGATGATAGAAACGCGCTCACTTGCTAACCGATAGCGCTTGCTAACCGTTAGCGGTATCCGGATACCGCTAACGGTTAGCGCTAACCGATCGGGCGTTCTCACACGGGTGCTAACGGTTAGCTCTAACGGTTAGCTCCCGATCGGGATACTAGGGCTCTCGTGTGAACAATAATAGTCGGCCGAATGAGTAAAGTATGGCTTATCATTATAGTGCATTGATGACCTTATATATGAGGGAGACAGAAAACAGTAAGGAAGAAGTTGTTTCCAAAGACGAGAGGCAAAAGAAATATAAATGATTTTATGCTCAATGGTTTTAGACATTGATATAGAGTGACTGCAAATAACTTGGCCTATAAATAATTTACTAAAACTTACTGAATTAAAGTATGACTTATCATTATTTAGTTTCGGTAAAAGTCAAGCGTAATTATAATCAAAACGGTACTTCTTGGTATACTGGATTTCGAGCTTCGATGAACTCATAAATTCCTATAGCAGATGTAAACCTTTACTGAAGGGTCTATAGGCATATCGCTTACCTGTGGTTTGCTTTGTAGTGCTCAAAGGTGACGTAGTGGTGATCGTTGGTGTTGTAGTCGCTGTTAAGAAAATAATACCCAATTATCCAGTATTTCAAACGCGCACTCTATTAATAATACATAAAAACAATGATATTTGGCCGAATGAGTAAAGTATGTCCTATCATTATATTGCATTGATGACCTTATATCTGAGGGAGAGAGAAAACATTGAGGAAGAAGTTGGTTCCAAAGACGGGAGGCAAAAAGAATATAAATGATTTTATGCTCAATGGTTTTAGACATTTGATATAGACTGACTGCAAATAACTTGGCCTATAAATAATTTACTAAAACTTACTGAATTAAAGTATGACTTATCATTATTTAGTTTCGGTAAAAGTCAAGCGCAATTTATAATCAAAATGGTACTTCTTGGTATATGTACTGGATTTCGAGCTTCGATGAACTCATAAATTCCTATAGAAGATTTAAACCTTTACTGAAGGGTCTATAGGCATATCGCTTACCTGTGGTTTGCTTTGTTGTGCTCAAAGGTGACGTAGTGGTGATCGTTGGTGTTGTAGTCGCTGTTAAGAAAATAATACCCAATTATCCAGTATTTCAAACACACTGTATTAATAATATATAAAAACAATAATAGTCGGCCGAATGAGTAAAGTATGGCCTATCATTAGTGCATTGATGACCTTATATCTGGGGAGACAGAAAACGGTATGTGAGAAGTTGGTTCCAAAGACGGGAGGCAAAAGGAATATAAATGATTTTATGCTCAATGGTTTTAGACATTTGATATAGACTGACTGCAATTAACTTGGCCTATAAATAATTTACTAAAACTTACTGAATTAAAGTATGACTTATCATTATTTAGTTTCGGTAAAAGTCAAGCGCAATTTATAATCAAAATGGTACTTCTTGGTTTACTGGATTTCGAGCTTCGATTGAACTCATTAATTCCTATAGAAGATTTAAACCTTTACTGAAGAGTCTATAAGCATATCGCTTACCTGTGGTTTGCTTTGTTGTGCTCAAAGGTGACGTAGTGGTGATCGTTGGTGTTGTAGTCGCTGTTAAGAAAATAATACCCAATTATCCAGTATTTCAAACACACTTTATTAATAATATATAAAAACAATAATAATCGGCCGAATGAGTAAAGTATGGCCTATCATTATAGTGCATTGATGACCTTATATCTGGGGATACAGAAAACAGAGTAAGAAGTTGGTTCCAAAGACGGGAGGCAAAATGAATATAAATGATTTTATGCTCAATGGTTTTAGACATTTGATATAGACTGACTGCAAATAACTTGGCCTATAAATAATTTACTAAAACTTACTGAATTAAAGTATGACTTATCATTATTTAGTTTCGGTAAAAGTCAAGCGCAATTATAATCAAAATGGTACTTCTTGGTATATGTACTGGATTTCGAGCTTCGATGTACTTATAAATTCCTATAGAAGATTTAAACCTTTACTGAAGGGTCTATAGGCATACTTACCTGTGGTTTGCGTTGTTGTGCTCAAAGGTGACGTAGTGGTGATCGTTGGTGTTGTAGTCGCTGTTAAGAAAATAATACCCAATTATCCAGTATTTTAAACACACTGTATTAATAATATATAAAAACAACAATAGTCGGCCGAATGAGTAAAGTGTGGCCTATCATTATATTGCATTGATGACCTAATATCTGGGAGAGACAGAAAACAGTAAGGAAAAAGTTGGTTCCAAAGACGGGAGGCAAAAGGAATATAAATGATTTTATGTTCAATGGTTTTAGACATTTGATATAGAGTGACTGCAAATAACTTGGCCTATAAATAATTTACTAAAACTTACTGAATTAAAGTATGACTTATCATTATTTAGTTTCGGTAAAAGTCAAGCGTAATTATAATCAAAACGGTACTTCTTGGTATACTGGATTTCGAGCTTCGATGAACTCATTAATTCCTATAGAAGATTTAAACATTTAATGAAGGGTCTATAGGCATATCGCTTACCTGTGGTTTGTTTTGCAGTGCTCAAGGGTGACGTAGTGGTGATCGTTGGTGTTGTAGTCGCTGTTAAGAAAATAATACCCAATTATCCAGTATTTCAAACACGTACTCTATTAATAATACATAAAAACAATGATATTTTTTTCCAGAATGAGTAAAGTATGGTGTATCATTATAGTGCATTGATGACCCTATATCTGAGGGAGACAGACAACAGTAAGGAAGAAGTTGGTTCCAAAGACGAGAGGCAAAAGGAATATAAATGATTTTATGTTCAATGGTTTTTAACATTTGATATAGACTGACTGCAAATAACTTGGCCTATAAATAATTTACTAAAACCTACTGAATTAAAGTATGACTTATCATTATTTAGTTTCGGTAAATGTCGAGCGCAATTATAATCAAAACGGTACTTCTTGGTATACTGGATTTCGAGATTCGATGAACTCATAAATTCCTATAGAAGATTTAAGCCTTTGCTGAAGGGTCTATAGGTATCGCTTAGGCCTACCTGTGGTTTGCGTTGTTGTGCTCAAAGGTGACGTAGTGGTGATCGTTAGTGTTGTGGTCGCTGTTAATGAAAGAATAGACAATTAAACAGTTTTTTAACCACACACTGCTAAAATCAATAATAGTCAGCTAGATGGCCTTATAGTACATGTGGAAGATAATTTTGATTACACTCTATATGCATATATACACAATACAATAGTCATAATAATGGTAAGACGATGATCGAATAAATTCCCCTTAAAAACCCTGGGGCGTTTATTCGAATAATTAGTGTATACAGTTATTAAATATGCCTATGCTTTTAAAGCTTTAAGTAATACATTTTATAATTTTTATCTTTGTTTTAGCCCTGTAGTTTAAGTTTTGTCGAACAAAATAATTAGAATTAGGCTTTTTCAAATGTAATTGTGGTGGGGAAAAACAGCATATTTTTTTGTATATCATAGTACCTAGTAGGCATGATCGTAACATCTTAAATATGAAAAAGGTAAGCAAATAATGGAAGCTTATGTGGCATGGTGGCCCACGGACATTTTCCCCGGACACGTGCCCCAGGATATTTTCCCCTGGATATTGCCCCTCGTGATGTTTGCACCACGGACTGTTTACCCCTAGGACAATTGTCTCTCGGATTTTTAACCCAACCACTCCTTTAAATTTTCTTATATATAACTTCAATTATAATTTTAATTTATTATACATTCTATTTTTTTTTAAACTTAATTTTAAGGCAGTAGTTAGATAGCAACAATGAGTGTAAGAACTTATTTTTGCCGAGGCTCAGTGTTCTTATTTTTAGCCGATTTCAGTCTTAAAATCTTGTTATTTCATTCATATTTTTACACATTTTTCAAACATACAAAATTATTATTTTACAGCAGTATGTTACTGTAGTATAGGGTAGTCCTATTTCCATAAAACCTATTCCTCCATGGCAACTAAATCAGTAAAGTATGGCCTATCATGTTTAAGATTATTTTGGTTACACGATATAAATGCACAAATATATAATACAATCATCATAGTAATGGTAAAAACAGTTACGCGAATAGAAGACGATGGTCGAATACTTCTCCTCAAAAACTATTTTCAACAATTATACTCCAGGACATTTATTCGAATATATACGGTATATCTTTATATAATATACATATATATATATATATATATATATATATATATATCATATATACTAGTATATATAATATACTACCATACTAAATATTATTTATTTATTTATTTATTTATTTATTTCAACAATCTTTAATATATACATACATACATACATACATACATACATATATGCTGGTTGAAAGAAAGACAGGAATGTATCTACAAAATATTATCGTATATAGACTGCATAATTACATAATAAGTAAATTTTATATAACATTTCGTAAATTAGACACCGTACGTTTCCATAGAAGTTTTGTTGTTTCGGTATATTGTGCAGTTGTTATATGTATGTAAAATATATGACAACATACGTGTAGCTATAGGTTGGGTAGACTCATCAAATGTGTCAATAGCGTATACTGTAGTATTCACTTTAATACGACCTTCATGACTACCAGATATCTTGTGTATTGCTTCAATGAGTCCCGGCTGTAGCACGTTTGACTCTGCTAATATTATGAAGTCCTAAAACAATTATGTGCGAACAATACTAATTATCATTATCATTAAGCTCTTCTTAATGGTTACCATTATCTTTAATATCGTTAATATCGTCGTCGTCACCACCAGCATCATCATCATTAATATTATTGTCAAGGCTGTGTCTTTCACTATTCTAACTATTATTATCACCATCAACCTAGACCCTAACCATTTAAATCATTATAATTACTGTTACCGGTATCTGAATCATCCCCGTCAAACTGTTAACATTATCTGTATCACCACCATTATAATTATCGTCGCCATCATCATTATCATCATTGTCATAGTCATCATCATCATTATCATCATCATTGTCATCCTAATCATGATCATCATCATTATTATTATCGATCAAAACAGTTTTATGATTATCATTATTATTTATTATTATTATTATCATTATTGTCAATAATGTTATTAATATTATATTTATTTAGGTTATTGTATTAATATTATTATTAATGTCAGGTTTTTTTTTTATCTATTTCAATCACAAATGTCGTTAACAATTATGAATTGATCGTAATGTAAACATATCACTATGATATTTACTTTAAAGTATAAAATGTATTTTAAAATATCTGATACTAATCTATTATTATATACATTATAATAAAATTGTTATAATTATTATTATTAAATAAATTATAATAATGTCATGATTACAATTATGCCTAATTATGACAGCGGTATAATACTATTTGGTGTTTGATGATGAAGTCGTACACTTTACTATGTCCTTAAGTTAGACACCTTATTAAGTATAGAGCCGTTACAAAAAAGAATGATGGTGTAAAAAGTCTCAGTCATCTACCTGAAAGATAGTGATGTCTTTAGCTGGGTAAGTACTTATGCCAATAATATTAACTTGCTCGATTCCGTCATAGTCAACAGAATATATAAATATACTATCTTCACCAACGATATAAACCCTTTATAAGAAAAACACAGAAGAAATAAATTAGGCTATGTTACCGTATTTTATCAAAATCAACATTAATTGTATGTATTATTCCTTATTACACATTAAATAATACACTTAAAAAACACATTAAAAACATGGTTTTAACCGATTAAAAAGTTTAAATTGAAAACCGAGATCCGCCCCTGATACGGACGTGATAATTCCGGTGTTAAAGTGAAACAGAAGAGAATAATGGATAACACATATTCATCTAACAGATGCTATGGGACTTCAAGCTGGCTGACACTCTAATCTAATTTCAGTTAAAAACTCTCGGACTACAGTATCTTGGACCAGCAAGAATGTTAAGACTGCAGTTATCTGCAATCCTTCCTTGTCATTCGTTTCATCCGACTATCATTGTTACTATGATTATCAGAAACTTAAATGTTGTATTTAGAATTTCATAGATATATTACCTTCTTTGGGCATGATCAAGAGCGATTCCTGATGGATTTAACAAGTTCGTGTTGACTAGATCATGGCGATTTGTACCATCCAGATTACAACTCACAAGTTTTGTCGGTGAAGACTGCTCAGTCCAAAATATCAATCTAACCAAAACGTTTGATAAACAATGTATATTAATATTAGGTCGATTCTAAACAGTATCTAATTTGTGTATTTTTTTTATATTTATTGGAACAAGAAAGAAAAATGAAACAAAGTAATAGTACCAAGCAAATTTCAGATAACCACTGCAGTATAGGCAGGCATATGATCGTCATTCAACATTACAAAAGAGAGGATAAAATTTGAAGTCTAAGTCTGGATCGAAACAATGCAGGAAAAAAAATTAAAATTACATACTATAGCCGTAATATATACAAGAGAGAAAGGTTTTCCTACATATGACTTAAATAAACATTGCTTTTTAAATTTTGTTTACAAAGTTCTCTTTTATATTAAATAACCTTCTCTAGTTATAAACTGAAATACAATGATATTGTTACCCTATCTAAAAATACAGCAACAGCTATACACAAAATGAAATGAAATGTAAGACATTCATATCTAGTGGACACAAACCGGGAAAATGAACGATCCTGGTTTTAGCCGTTTGAATATTGAGAAGGGTTGTAACTGGTTCGACCACCTTGTTTTTTCTGGGTCAGAACTGACAGAGAGCGTCTGTTTGTCCAGAATATGTGGTTTGTTCTGTTAATGATGGATTTCTTAGCTTGGAATTATAGAGGGCGTATCTAGACAAAAAATTAAGATTGACAGTAGAGGTTGTTATTCTCATAAATTCAATGGAAGGATACAATATTAATATTCATGGGTTAATTAACTTAATAAATTTTGTAATAGCAATTTCTATATTATGTGTAGATTTGAATTTTCGGAAAAAAAAAGGCCTACAGTAGTAGTTTCTGTAAGTGGTGTGTGTACTTGCTGTTGGATGTGAAGGAAAAAAATAAGAAAAAAATATAAAGTAACTAAAATTCACCTCTTAGGTGTCATTGTGATGATTTAAAAAAGACTGAAAGTGAAGATAACGGTTATTTTCATTGTATATTTAACTGTTCCATGGTATAAGATTACCTTGCATTTGAGTCTACTGCTAAAGCCCTTGGACTATCGACGTTATAAAACATTACTGAAGTAGACATTCCATCATAGGATGAAACTCTTAGACGATCTTGAAGATAATCAACCCAGTAAACTTTAAGCGAAATCCAGTCAACAGCCATACCTAGTGTAAACAATGTTAAAACGTTTCATATAGATTTAGATATAATAATAATAATAATAATAATAATAATAATTAAATAAAGAAAGTTGTATTGGTCTTGGTCTTAAGAAATCGAAGACTCTCATGATTGCTTATGTTTCTAAATTATAATTTTCACAATGTTTTAGTTTTTACTAAACTTTGCAAAAACAATGGACCTTTTCGCGCGTATTCTTGACCCTGTTTTGATTGGTGAGATAACAACTTTGATTGACAATCCGGAAAGGTTCATTCTGATCACGTTACGATTGTAATTTTGTCTTGATGATGAAGCCTTTTTCACACAATTGCAATTGTGGTGATAGCAATATCCATAGTTTCCTTTGACACAAATTAATGCACAAAATGTGTCTTACCTGAAGTGTAAAGACCTGTGATCAACACAACAAAAATGCTTGTCACAAATGCCAAAAATATACAGTTCGAAGCGTTTTATCTCAATGGTGGAAAATTCTATGTAAGAATTAAAAGGTTGGAAATATTCCCAAGAATATAATATTTTTTAACATGGGTGAAGAAACATTTGACAACACGAGCTTACAGAAACGTGGTTGAGAAATTTACCGGCATACAGATTCTGCGCTATTTACAGAAAATTTTCCACACATGCTAAAAATTCTCACACTTTAAGAAATATTCCCCACATTTGTCAGAAATCCAAATACATGGCGTGGGATATTGTGCCTTTGCCGAGTTGGTATGTTTTCTTTTAAAAATAATTTACACCCATTGGGACAGTGTTTGGAATACTAGACACCTAGCAGTATGGAGGCATTATGATAGTGGATATTGTTAATCAGTCTTCAACGAACGTTTAATTCTAATTGGATGTTATGTTCCTAATCTAACCCATGCACGCAATAATATCTAATCGGAATTTCAAAAATACTAGTAAATTTAATAAGTTAAATGAGTCTTTATGATTAGAGAACTAGATGTAAATATTGTGTGCAACTGTTGTCTTTGGAAAATATCATTCCTAAAATTATTGATGGCATTAATAATTCTAAAGTTAAATTGAATTTGGATATTTTTCATCCATAATAATAATAATAATGATAATAATAATGATAATATTAATGATAATAATAATGATAAGAATAATGATGAGTATAATAATGATAATAATAATGATAATGTTGGTGGATGATAGGCCTGGTTGTTTGTATCTTTTGTGTATTGCTTTTGGATGCTGCTTTTGTTTTCTTGTACTGTTTTTGTGTATCTTGCCTTTTTACTGTTTACTTAATTGTTCACAAAGATTTCAGCTTATGCTGCCCTCTGTTTTTAATGTATTTTATTGGTGAATAATAAATAAACCTGAATATATAAATATATATATACATATATTAACATATATATAAGTTTGAAAGGCAAATGGGAAAAACCCATAAAACAGCAAACGGCCATATAATGCAAAACAATTTAAAATTAAAATTAACACGGAACAGTAGAGAAAATCCGATCAGAATGACAAAATAAACTAAGCATCCACTCTGGAAGGAATCCCAATATCTGCAGACGGATCCGTTTCGGCCTTCCAGGCCTCATCAGTGCAGCTAGGGTACAGACCCAAACGAAACGTTCGACCAGCTTAGGTAGGGCCCAAACTAGTCCCATCAAATGCCAAAAATATACAGTTCGAAGCGTTTTATCTCAATGGTGGAAAATTCTATGTAAGAATTAAAAGGTTGGAAATATTCCCAAGAATATAATATTTTTTAACATGGGTGAAGAAACATTTGACAACACGAGCTTACAGAAACGTGGTTGAGAAATTTACCGGCATACAGATTCTGCGCTATTTACAGAAAATTTTCCACACATGCTAAAAATTCTCACACTTTAAGAAATATTCCCCACATTTGTCAGAAATCCAGATACATGGCGTGGGATATTGTGCCTTTGCAGAGTTGGTATGTTTTCTTTTAAAAATAATTTACACCCATTTGGACAGTGTTTGGAATACTGGACACCTAGCAGTATGGAGGCATTATGATAGTGGTTATTGTTAATCAGTCTTTAACCAACGCTTAATTCTAATTGGGTGTTATGTTCCTAATCTAACCCATGCACGCAATAATATCTAATCGGAATTTCAAAAATAATAGTGAATTTAATAAGGTAAATGAGTCTTTATGATTAGAGAACTAGATGTAAATATTGTGTGCAACTGTTGTCTTTGGAAAATATCATATTTTCTAAATATCCGATATTTTTATCTTTTCAAACCTTACCACTACAAAGACTGCTGGACCAGACGGATTTCATGCTAAAGTTTTATATGAATATGAAATGCCCTATCCATTGCAAATAACTTTTTAGAAATTTTTTTAAATAATTTGTCACCATCGTGAATGGAGGTTGCAGTTGTTTAAAATGGGAAAGAGGCTTGTCTCACTCACATTAATTATGTGTAAGATAATGTAGAAGATAATTAGGGATAAGGTCTTATCTGTTGTGTGAAAACCTTTTAATTTCGTAGCGGTCGTTTTTGTGCTACTCAGTTGTTCTACAAGATGCTCTACATAAGAATAAGTCTCATTATGAGGCTTAAGTAGTAGAGTTGTTTTGTTTGTGAGAAAAAAAAATCATGTTACAGTGACAGGAATTGAACCCGGGACCCCGGGTCCCGGGTTCAATTTCCCATAAGCATTCCTTCAATTTTCATCTATTTCCATAAGCACCCCCCCCCCCTCAATTTCCACTATGTTTGAATAAGCGCCTCGTTTGAATAAGCGCCTCCCAACAAGAGCCAAAAATATTTTAAGCGCCCTGGCGCTTATTCGCGCGAGTACGGTAGTTTATAATTCCGAATTCAGGCATGGTATGAGTCATGTGGGATTAAGGACTGCAAAGTTACCGTAGCTCAAGGCCGGGGTAAGGAAACCACAATATAAAAGTTCCCTTGGTCAGAATGTAGGTATAAAGGCAATATAAATATACAGTGTATTTGTTGTTATCGTAAAACTAATTTCAGTGAATTTATATGTAACCATAATATAATTTTTCTATAGCAAAAAAAGGCAATAGGGACACAGGTTGTGAGCTGTTGTATGCTTGGCCGGAAAGCCGCCGGAAGGAACTAGCACTGGAAAGTCTTGGAAAATCCAGTAGAACTAGGAGGCTAAAAGTTGAATGGCTATATACAAATCGTCTTATACCTCAGAGCTCAGACGGCGTTTGTTGAACAAATTCAACAAACTCTAAATTGTGCTTGCCGATTACATTCCAATTGATTTATAAATAATTTTTAGAAGGGTTTTTCTTACACATCCTGTGGCATAAAGCCAAAGAAATACCTGACTGAAGGAAATGGCATTGAATAAATTCAAATCATATGAAGATATGGCTTGTTGTGAAATAGACTGAATGGTTCGTTTATTATAGCTTATACGTCTCCTGTGTTCTGCTAAAAAAAAAATCATACTTTTAAGTATGACCTACAATATAAATTTAGAAGAGAGATAGGCCATCATTTTTGTCTATCATCTCTGTAGCACAATACGAAGAATTATGTTTTCTATTGCTTTTGCATTATTTCGTTGCATACGTAGGCCCCACTTGTTTATCTTGTATATCAACTACCTTACGGATATGGTCAATAGCACAACACGACTGTTTGCAGATGACTGCATACCATATCGAGCAATATCTAACCCCTTAGATGAGAAATCATTGCAACAAGAGTCATTGACAATTTAGTCACGTGTGAGCTAACACATGGGGTATGGAATTCAACGCATCAAAATGCTCTGTAATGATAATTTCCAGAAGGCGAAACCAAGGTATACCAAGTACACACTCCTCGGTGAACAAATCCAAGACGTCAACAACCACCAATATCTAGGGATCCACATAGAGAACAACCTGAAATGGGACAAACAGACACAATATGCATCGATCAAAGGCACACGGGCCTTAAACTTTAAAGAATTCTTTAAAGGAACTTTAACCACTGTTTCAAAACAGTGAACCACTCTATCATACCTTTGTTTGTTTCCATAGCATGGCACCCAAGCGCCGCCAAGAATATCGAATTACCAGAAATGGTAGAGGCGAGCAGCCCGATTTGTGGTAGGGAACTACTACAGAGAATCCAGTGTCACCGATATGATGACTATTCTCGGCTGGATTCCCCTCGAGGTTGTAGGGAAACACCTACGCCTCATCAGCCTTTACAAGCTCATCCATGGAGAACTTGATCTAGATTTAGATAAATACGTATCCAAAAGAGTAAACTAGACTACTACGGTTACATAATGAACAGTATGACGTCGTATCAAACTTCATCTCCACAAATCAAATGGCAAACTCGTTCGTCACAGACTGTCAGACAGAGTATCCCACAGGATCAACCTCCCAAGAGAAATTGTATCTACTGAAAGTTAAGAGTTTTCAAAACCAAATTAAATAATCAAAATCTCTCAAAATGCCAACTTAATTAGTGCCCAGATTCTCGTCAGCCCTGAGCAATCCTCCCTGGCGGAGGTCTTTGGGGACATCAACTACAAGGTATTGTATAGTTAATTTGAATGTAACCACAATATTTACCATCAACCCGACCGCCTGTATATGTATGAATTATTCTCGGATATTGGTCATCTTCAAGCCTTACAACAAATATTGATTTTCGTGTGTCTTCCGCATAAAACAAGAAATTACTGTGTGTGTCTACTGCTACTGCTGTTATTATGTCATCAGTTCTGCTAAGAAAGTCATGAATATATTCCTGTTTACCATCCACACCAGCATGAAGCAGGGAAGGGTTAAACACTGAAATTGCTTCCGCCCTTCCTATTACGCAAAGTGGAGGATACAAAAAATTCAAATCTGAAAAAAACCAGTAAAAATGCTAAGGTTTAGAAGCAAAAAGCGAAAGTTAGTGAGTAAAAGTCGCCTTTAATATTTGGAAATTTCCAATGGTTGCGCAATAAGAATGGTAAGTAGAAATTTGGTAAATATTGGGGAACTAGAATATGTAACTTCAAAATATCTTTAAATATATATTGTTTGATAATAATGTAAGATTTGATACAAACCAATACTGCATGTTCCATTTGGATATAAAACATAGTTATCACTACAGACACACTCGTGTTTTCCCTCGGCAGCCGATACACAAAGGTGGCTACATGTGTGCACATCACACGGTACTAGAAGAGAACAGAGATATGTTAAATCTTAAAAAATACTCTAAAAATAAACCATTGCATAATATTCTAAAATAAGCCTTTACTTACACGTTGTTGGCCTTGGTTGGATGTTGGGACCGGTGACGCATAAATCAAGAACACGAATTCCACTACTAAAGATATATTGAAACACTATACCACTAGGCGTGGTGGACTTGCTGTAGTAACGTAGGATATGTTCATACGTAAGGCTATAAATACTCACAAATATGTAATCCTATAAAGAGATAATATTTGTTAATAAAACGATATAATAGACAATTTATTATAAAGTGATTTCTCTCCTACAAATGACCGTAACGCTCATACATAGTGGAGCTGTGGTTAAGCTAGAAAAGGTTGTAGGTCGAGACTGGGAAATCATAGTAAATAATATTCAAATCAGATTTGCTGCGTATCACCGTAAAAACAATTATATAATTGGAAATTGGAAGAAACGCACCCCTCAGGACAGATCACCCAACATATATTTTTATATAAGAAACACTAGTAACAGTTAAAACATAAATAAATAAATAAATAAATATATATATATATATATATATATATATATATATATAACACTCTTACGCTGAATTATGTTTCAAACTATGTCAAAGGGTCCGGCGTTTTTAACAACTGCAGCGTTATTCTATACCATCGAGACATACGTGGAACATCATAAAGTATAACATCGATCAGATATGAATTTATATATATATATATATAATATATTATATATATATTATACTCACTTCATCAACAGAAATACTGTCAAATACACCATCAGATGATGGTTGTGACACTTCAGTTCGCCTGCCGTCACCATTAAGATCGGAGGATTCAACTTTACTTTCAGCTACACTATTGTCAATCCAGTAAATCCTAATAAAATGATAATAACTATTATTATTAATAATATAATTAATAAATATTTATAATATTCCTTGAAGGTTTGCATGGTAAGTATCAATAAAAGAAATCATTAAAACTTCCTGTAAACTATGTGTAATAAGATGGGTTTTGAAGTAAAACAACTGGTTGGTTGTCTCGACGTTTCGGTGAGATTACTCTGACCGTCATAGGAAGAATGATAAATGATGACATCTGTTGGTCTTAAATAGCGATAGTAATTGTCGGTGATCTATTGTTTCCTTTGAAACAGATTAGGTGTAAAAAGTGGTTACTGTAAGAAAGCTAGGTATGTGTCCATTCATCCTGACTATTGTCTTTCAATAATAAAGGTTAGGTAATTGTGTCGGATGAGTGGTACTCAGTGAATAGTAATGTAAATCAGAATAAAACAAGTAAAGTGGTTAACAACAAGCACGGTGTGACCGTTCTCTCGCAGTTTAAGGGACTAAGCCCGACAGGCTCATAATTTACAGGTCACCATTCCATGTGTGAGTGGGTGTGTGCGTGGGTGTGGGTGTGGGTATGTGTGTGTGTGTGTGTGTGTGTTGGGGGGTGTACGTGGGTGTGTGTGTGTGTGTGTGTGTGGTATCCCATATAGTTTGTTAGGTACACTATGATAAACTTGGATGGTGGCCGAATTCAGAATGCGCTGGATGTGAGATGTAGTGTATTAAATATATATAATAAATATATATTAAATAAAATATATATTAAATAAAATTAACAGTGGAAGAAACCAACAGTGTTGAAAACTTGCTCCATAAGTCCATCCAGCAACCTGACTTCAACAAAATCCTTAAGTGGTGTGATTTTTCTTCTTTTTTTTTGTTTGAATTGTGCTAGAGCACCAACGTACATACCGAGAAGAAGACATCATCCCACTCAGGCCTATAGTTTTATCCAAGGGAGCACCTAAATATCCCTTAGAAAGATATCTGGCCACCTTAAATAACCCACTAATTGGTAACACTGGACATCACGTCGTCAACTCAAAACACTTCACTGATCATGAATTTGAGATCTCGAGTTGGAACCTACCGACATACTTGTTAGTTTTGATGTAGAATCACTCTTCACCAGCATTCCAATTGAGGCTAATACTTTAGCCAACACAAGCTTAGGCAAGATTCAACCCTTCGGGAGAGAACACCGCAAGCCATCTATACCTCCTATATCATTTGTCTTTTAACCACATCTTTCGGATGTGCACAGGATTCTACAAACAAACGTAATGTGCTGCTATGGGTTCTCCGCTTTCACCCGTCATCGCCAATATCTTTGAAAGATTCCCACTGCACATCACAACATTGATCAAAATTACTCCCATACGATACATTTATGATCTGGCCACACAACCGTCAAATTCTGGGGAAATTCCCACACACACAGCACTATCGCCTTCACCATGGAAACTGAATCAGATAGATCTATAGCGTTTTATTTTTATATTACGTGTTACCAGAACCACCAGTAACTTGCTATCGCACAAGTTATACCGAAAAACCTACGCACACTAATAAATATCCCAATCAAAGTCTTGAATCCCCCCACGCCCTCCCCTAGATACGCCACTGGCAACCAAGCAATCCGTTTGCAACACATTTATTAAAAGAACTCACTCAGTATCAGCGCCAAATTTGAAAGAGGGAGGTTCAAAGTTATTCCCAGAAACCCGAGAATGAAAGGGGGTGGGGGAGTCCTCTCCCAGGAAAATTTTGATTCCTAAATAGCCGGAAATGAGCTTTCCCGATTTCTGAAGTGTCTTTTAATGAGCTTTAATTTCTTCAAAATTCTAGGTTTTACCTCTCTTAAAAAAAGGTCAGGTGATTTTATCTCATTCTTAGGCCCATATCATACAAGGATACAAGAAAATCAAAGATATAGTCAATACATTATTAGGCCTATATTTAAAAAATATTGAGTAGTTGGATACGTAGTCTTTCTTATAGGTCGATGAAATAGGCCGAACATACGTTCGTACATAAATTATTACGACGTCGAGCCAAAAACAGTGTTTTTAATTGTATTTAATTGAATGCTATGGTTAGGTGATTTTCACCAACTTAACCGTGATTTTTTTGGGGGGGGGGATTCGGGGCCGCGAGTAATTTTTAGGGGCTTGCGCCTCCTCCCCCGCGCCCTCCCCTAGATAAGCCACTGTATTTAAACCATCTTCACTTCGATAGTTCCGATGGAATTCAACACACAGTTTATATGTTTACATGTAATGTTGGTTTTCAGTTTATTGTATGAGATGTTGATCTGTGAACTATGAGCCTGCCCAATTTATTATTGTTCAATGATGATGAAACATGTAAATACCTAATACGTAATCCTACAATCTTAACTATTCATTAAATCTCCTGACGGAGTTAGCGACGGAACGTGTTAAGTAGTAGCACCGTCTTGACTTATTTGCATTGTAATTTTATCATTTATCTTTCTTTCCTTTACCTATTGTATTAAATGTCTTTTGTTACACAATTTAATAACTGGAGCTAAAAGATGTAGGAGAAAAGATAATCCAAGTTCCCAACCTCCTCACCCCCACCCGCCCCGGAAAAAAAAAAAATCTGTTTTTTGTCATTTTTAAATAAAGGTCGACAGCCCATTTATTAATTAATTTTGCTGTGATCCCTAATCATCATAGAAACCATTAATGCTGTCTCTTATACACATCTAGATGTGTATAAGAGACAGGGTCAAAGCATTCTCACTGAAACGTCGAGACAGCCAACCAGTGGTTTTACCCCAAGAACTATTATTACTATTAGTACACATCGTATGCGGAGGTTTTATGATTTTGATTTTTATAATATTTATATTAAATATATTAATAATAATTTATAATAATTATAATATAAAAGAAAGTACGCACTAGTAGCGTTTTGAAATGTTGCCCAGTGTGCCTGCTGTTGACAGGTTAATACTAATTTTTAAGTTTAAGTAATTTTTATTCTGCCCTCTTGATTATTGTTCAATGATGATGAAACATGTAAATACCTAATTGACACAGTACAAAATATAATGATGAACCTTTGTTTTTACGTTTACATATTTGAAATAAATATTTTGAATTATTTTATAAAATTGGAGCTCTAAATATATTTTTAGTGTCAAAAAATTCATGAGGATAACATTTCAGTAGCATTATTATCCGATGACTATAACAACGATAAAATAACGATGAAGATGGTGATTATATAGATTATTGAAATAGGTTGATCTGGCATGTCTTATCCGCTGAGACCTGACATTAAAATATTCAACAAATCATTGTTTTAAAGGCTGAAATAGGACATTTGTATCCTAATTAGAAGGTATGCAAAGTTTTTTTCCCTCGCAAGGGATACAGTATGGCAAAAAAACAATAAAAATAAAAGAAAATAGCGCCTTTGATTGGGCCAAATCCGCCAAGAAAACCCCTCAACAACTTTGCATTTCATTTCTTAAGGTTGTTATCGGCAATGATATAGAAAATCCAACCAGAAAGGGCAGCAGACACCTTTTGTGAAAGATCATACCGTAGCTACAGCCAGCTAGTATTAATAATAACAAAATGACCTTGACCCAAACAAATGTCCTTATATGAGGCTGCTAGGACCCAAGAGGCTATAATATAATTTACCCCTTACACATTCAACCCAAAGAAAGCCCGCTTTTTTCCTCTAGAGTTTGGCTTAAAGGTCCACCGTTTTTTGTGCCGATAGATAGTGAGAGTTAAGTTCAAAAGTAAAATTGCTAACATAATCCAATTGAGCTCAAATTTACTAGGAATAACCTGACTGGATTCACATTTTATCGAACATAGTCTCTAGGGTTTTTATTACTATCTTTTCATAATGATCAAAGTAATGTTAACTGAACTAAATAGGCTCTGATAAAAATCTATTGTATATTTCTATAACATATTATGTTATAACTTACATGATTAAACTCTAATACTACATTTTAATATTACTATTAGAAATATATAACTGTCTATGTAATCAACATCACCATTATGTTAATCATCATTAGAATTATCGTCACCAGTCTTCATATTAATATTAATCATCAATACTATTCGTCATCATCATCATCATCATCATAAATCCCCATTTTCATTTTATTAAATTTTATAATTAATCGTCATCACCATCATTATCATCATTATCATCATCCTCAACATCATCATCATAACATTCATGTATTGACTATCAGCAACATAAAACCACAGTGTATTTCCTACCTGTTAGTGATGATATCTACTGCTATAGACCTCGGGTCACTCAGCCCTGTAACAATAGTTGTTCGATTTGCACCTGCCATTGAAGATCTTTCAATTTTGGGGGGATACGTATTCCCCAATTCGGTCCAAAATAGGTACCTTTAGTGAAAAATATATCATTTATACACTGCAGAATAATATCAGTACACATCCACCTACATATGTCAAATATTATATAATTTATTAATTAAAATTAAAAACAAATATAAATTAAATTTATTAATTGGATTGGTTGAGGTTTTTTTTTTCTTTCTTTTTATCACATATTTTATGCAAAAACGTTATATAAATATGTTTTGTATTTATTAAAATTGTCTTCTTTACAGTTTTGATCACTTTTTGATAAGCAACTACGTTTGCAAACAGAAAATCTAGTTCACTAATTTCAACGGTTGGGAGAAATCCAAAATTAAAAAAAAAAAACAAAAAAAACCACAGAACCTTATTATGACGTTGGCGAATATTGTAATTAGGTATGACAGAATTAACGTTAAAATAACGTTAACATAGCGTTGCAGCAGCTAATACAACGTAATTTAATTGTGAAATTACGTCATCAACACGTATTATTGATGGCTCTACAAAATACATCTGTGCACATGCAACGTTATTATAACGTTAAATTGTTATTTATTTGGGGGTTTTTTTTATTATGTAAGGCATTTCTTATTTTCTTTTTAAGTTTAATATTGAAATTATTTGTAGGCTGGTCTTGAGTGTAATTACTGTTGCCCCTGCCATTACCACTACAAAAATAGAATTATTGTTGATGATGCCTTGTAGTGGTGTACCTTAGGCTCAGTAGTAGAATTTGAGTTTGTACATACCCTTTTATAGGGTGGCAAGCTATTCCCGACGGCCTTTCAAGGCCCGTATCAACAATCGTAGCTTCGCGTCCTCCTCTGAGATAATTTGTCATTTTGATCCAGTTATAACCCTCGTCCACCCAATACACATTTTGAGCCAACCAATCAATTGTCATACCCAACACTCTACCGGAGGTTCCACTTTCAATGGGATGAGCAACGCCACCACCAGGAGCTTCAAAATCATCGCTTAAGTAAATCCAGTGGTTTCTTGTATCATGAAACGTAACATTTCCTGCATGATAGTCAGCTGCTATAGAGTTCCAGTAGTGGACATTCGAGAAATACCATTTACGATAATCTAACGTCTGATTATTTTTGTAGGATTCAGGACTTGCAGGAAGCCAACCAATATAAGTCCCAAAATTATGGTAGCTGTAGTGAGCCAAGAACAATGTATTTCCCGTAACCTGTCCATTTGCTACAAGTTAACACACAACAAAATAGAAAAATTGAAAAGTGTGAAGTTGATCCACCGAATAAATTTCAATCAAATAAACAGTTATTTGTTTCAGAATAAAACTTACCATGATTAGTATATATAATTATATTATAATTATGAGAGGCCTACCTGAATAATAAATTGAATTAATATTGTAAGACAAATTAAATGAGAAGATAATGCTGATGAAGTAACGACATAAAACAATTCAAATGAAAATAAAATACACGACAGTTTGGCAAGCTAAAAGACAAAGCAATACACCGACATGCATAAAGTAGGCAATTGCTGCTATGGTGCTGCTGTCAATTACTTGAGCCGAACCCATTGTTATTTTACGCCTTTTTTCTCTCTCTCTCTCTCTTGTGTGTGGTCATCCCACCTTTATTTCACCATTTTTTCCTGGTTTTTAATTTTTATCATTACATATTATGCAAACTTATTGACGATTAATTGTTTATATATGGAGTATTAACGGGCTTTTGATGTAAGTGGTCATTTTTATAAATACTCAAATTAGGCCAGGTACATGTTACTTTTTTTTTCATAATCTTCATAAGTAAAAATCTTACAAATATATTATAAATAATGTAGAATAGCTGATAGTTAAAAAAAGAAACAAGTAAAATTCTTCTTTATCAAAGCAATCTTCAATATATCATAAATATATCATTTTACTCTGACGCACACAGAGATTACACTTTCTAAGCATCGTAGCAAATTTAATCTAGACATAAACAGAAATAGTGGAAAAAGAAATGGCATATACCTTTGGATGAGAGACAGGCTATTAAAATCAATACTGCCATACGAGAAGTCGTCATTTTTTTAGTGTTAAACATCTCGGAGAGAATACGGGCATAACGCAGCGTTACTGAGTATTTCATCACGAACGAATGAGGAAATAATGCCTAAACAATAATAAAATCTGAAAGTTTTCCTACACCTCTAGGCATCTTGCTGTAACATTTACAAAACAAATAAAGCAAACAATTGGAAATCACCCGCACGTGATGCTATACAAATTCAAATACAATAACTTTAACACAATAAAAAGGCACTCAAAATGCTGAACTCTGATCTGAAATTGATTTGACGCATGCCATTACCGAGAATATTGGAAATACACCACAGCATTAGCTAATTCTGTTGAAAAAGGTTTATATTTACATTCATTTAGATGTCGTGGAGAAAGTTTAACTGCTTTTAGTACAAAATTGTTTGTAAAAATAATAATTCGAAATAAAAGTAGCGCTAAAATAAGCTAAATTAGAAAATAGGCTTAAAGTATACAGTAGGCCAGAGGTAGGCATCAAAATCGGTCGGGGATGGTGGGTGGGGGGTCAAAGTGAATCTTTGATTTAACACCGAGGGCCGCACCCAAACTTTGATGTTTCCAGTGAGCTTCTAAAAATCTCCAAGCACTGCTTTTACACAACTTTATTCTCAGTGTTAATGTTAGGCCTACTTTTTACATATGATAATATGCGTCGGGGCCGTAAAAGTACAAGGTGTTTTCTAGCTAATGTTGCCTCGGCGGGCCGCACGCATAGGATTTTTAATCCGTTTTCGCGGGCCGCAAAAAAATTTCTGTCGCACTTTACCCACCTGTGTAGTAGGCCGTTTTGTTTCGCAATCGTTTTCAAACGTACTGAGTATTCAGTACATTTCCACGTCAGGTAGGATAAAATTACACCTATACAAAGATAAATCTAGAAAAGTATTCAATTTGTACCGGAGCTGTTCAAGGACGAGTGAAATTAGTATAGAAATAATCGATACCTGTTCTGGTGTTGATTTTTTTATTCGATGAAACGCTAATACTTATATGATGCTTGATAAATATTTTTGCAAGTCAGGTATTACTCGTTTGGAAAACATTGACTGCTCCATTGGTTATTGCAACACAGAAATTCTATGTTGAATTACATGAGTATATTGCAACTATTCTTATTATGTATTTATAAATAATCTCACAGTCCGTTTCAGATGGCAACTTCAATATTTTTTCCGCTGATGCAACTGTGTACAATTCAGGTATTAATATTCAAAAGTACTCAAGGTATAATAATTGTGTAGTGTAATTGTCTGTTTTTACGGGTTTAGGTAGCCTACATTTCATCCCAGGCAGTTGCCATCTAGCCTTTTGTCAACCAGCATTTTTTTTATTCTGTGTGGGTAGCCAATCTTAAATTATTTCATGTTTTTGTTTTCTTATTTTCACATTATATGTCTCGTCTCCCTCGAAATTAAGACCACTTTTGGATCCTGAGTTGCATTACCTTAAGCAACTTTGGTCTCTATAATTGAATAATAAAAATAAAGACATTTGTTAAATTGGTACTGCAGAAACGTGGTCTTAAATAGAAGCGGTCTTTAATTAGAGGGAGACCTGTATTATCATATCAATTCATAATGATATCATTAAAACGTTTTTCTCACTAAATTTGTTATCATTCATTAAAATATATAATTTACAGTTATTGGATGTATTGTTTTTATTTTCTTATCTAAAGCAAAAATCGTAAACCATTACAAATATACTCTGCTCTGATATATCAATACTTTCAACAGAAAATTGTAACTAATATATTCGGATGATTAA